AAGTGAAAAAAGGTTCGAAAAATCATCAAAAAGGAGGCTGGACGAGAATGAGACCAGAAGAGTGAAGAAGAGGGGGCGTTTGGACGAGCTATACAATGTAATTTAATGCGTACGTGTGGGTCCTGGTGCCAATATCTGACTACGGTAAGCGAAAATTCTTCCCCTCATAAGCATAAGTAAACAGAAAAAAACTAGTTACAACAAAAATGGCTCACCTTTTTCAGCCTTCTGGGGTAGGAAGTTAAAAAAGGGATCGCGGCAGCAAACAGAATAGCGGAGTATAGAGAATGAGAGAAAAACATCGCCTCGTCACCGGCGATCAGTTGATTGTGTGTGGGTCCTAGAACGAATATCCGCAATCTGTATTGCCTCGACACTCGTCTAACGTGACATCGATCGAGAGGCGGGACTACGGCAGCAACGGGGCCACCATTATGCCCTTAGCGCCGAGATTATAGAAGCGAGAGACCATTCTACCACTCATGGGGGCCACTGAGTATTAATATGGGAAGAACTCAGAAACCATTTTATCGTGTACCGTGCCTTTAAGGTACGTTATGGAGTGCTTATCCCCATCGTTCCCATCAGAATAAATACGTAGGATACTGTAAAGCAGACATCGAACATTTATTCTCTTTCTTGAAAAAGTACCCGTGCAACAATTGTGATATGAGGCAAAAAACACAGAACGTTACATACACCATGGCAAAAGTGATTGCAACTCGAAAGCTTCAGGCAACAACGAATATGCATCGACTGGTTAGAATGCATAAGTAGATACGATACCGGGAAGATTACATTCTGCAACTCTTCACTGACCAATCTTGGAATAAGTGCCAACTACCGCTGTTCCTTCAGTAGACCAGGTCCCGCATTATGTTGAGCATACCGAAATGATTCACTCTCAACAAAAGGTCTTTTACTGTAATGGGATCGGCTTCCCAATGAACCGAAACATGGTATGACGACAAGATTCCAGTCGATACTCATTTGGTCTTGGCCACCTGTGAACAGCGAAACGATTGGGCACAACACGACGGTCATCTGAAAACAAAAGTTTATAGAAAATAAATCGTTTAAGCGATCTATAGGAGAGCCTGGTGAAGCGCTCATTCGCTGCAAGTTCAAGGCCCAATCCATAGTGAAAGTGTTTCACGAGATTTGCTAGCGGGTCGAATCTCTAGCATCCATCCACGAAAAAGGTTGTCGTACCGAAAAACGGCCTAGATAGGGCGAAGTGGGGCCTTTAAAAATTGGCAAGGCACACATGCAAAGGGTCATTCGCAGGGCACACACACTTCGAAACTTCAAACAACTGATCGTCGGGGTCCATCCCGTGGCAATAGGCTAAAGCAACTTTTCGCAGTAGGGAAAACCTCAATGAAACACCCCCTTATTCATCCGAATCTTTGCCAACCCTGATTGAATTGAACTACTTCCAATAAGCCTTATGTTTCCTGATTGCTGTGAATTTCAACGCTCTCTTAACTGGAGGAAATACTCAAATAGAAAAAAAGGGTAGCCGGGTGGTTTGAAGCTTTTCGAGCACTGTAGAAACCCGAGTAACAATGTCAAAGACGGCCAACTTGAAAGTTACAAAGCCAAAGAAGGAAATGGTAGGTCGATGAGAAGTCAGGAGATGGAATTCGAGTCGAACGAGGCGCAAGGAATTTCTTTCAAAGTTTCCTTGACTAAAAAACGAGTCAACCTACCAAAAATGCAATGACTATATGTGCTTGTAATGGAATTTGAGAAGCGATCGCTACCATTTTTTCCATATTGAATGACCTGTAACTTGGTTTTGAAAGTTACTTCTCCATAATACTCCCAGTAGTCCTGCGAACACTGGCGATCCATGAGAAGAAAAAAGAAAGGACTAAAATCACTACCTGATTTGCAGCGTTGAATTGGTCGCGATTTCGACAACGCACCCATTTTTCAATGTTGGTAGTGGATTGTTCGATGCAAACAGAACAAACAAAATGATCGATGTTAAAGTTGTGATAGCCAGAGCAGTCATTGCTCCTAAACAAGGAGATATTCAAAATTACCAAGTCACTCGGAATTGGAGAACAAGTTCTGAAGGGGATCATCACGAACCTTTTGAGTTACAGAATGGTAAGAAGTAGCCACACATGAATACTCCACACATCCCACCGCAGAGTGTTCTGGAACAATACAGCAAAGATGAGGGTTATGAAACGAACCTAACAATTTATGCTTTCTTTGAAAGCATTGGTATCTTTCACTACGCTCAGTTACTAGCTATGGACATCCACTCAACTAAGAAAGGTAGATATGTTGGTTTATAAAAAGTAGAACTTCTAAGAAGTCCAACTTCTGAAAACGACTTCGAGACTTCCAATTCGAGAGTCGTGGGGGAACCTTTTCTATCAAAGAGTCAAGAGTTGCTTGAATGAATGCTCAGGAATAAGTATGAACGAGAAACGGATCAGTATGCGCCGCGTATTTGGTATCAACGATGAAACACGAGTGAAATTTTACTTACTAATAATTATTCTGATACGATTAAGTGGAAGAGTTGCATCTGTTCGGGTGACATTTGGAAAGTGTTCACAAGTTGCTTGTTCAACCAATATTCTCAAGTAGTTGAACAGCGCAGTATAGAAAATCAAAGGCATTACATGGGTTTTGGATTTAGTTGCTGCGAAGATGCTCCAAATCAGAGGGAATATTACAAAAAAAATTAGCTCCCTTCTATGAAAACTGCTAAACGCTTCTGGTGGTTCATCAATTTTTAGTGAAGGCACAGCTGGGAATAGGAACCGGCTTATGTATGCGGCGTGGTTCGCGCATGGAACTGGGTACATGGGTAACATATGACTGCCCAGTGGAAAAAGGGCAAAATTACCGAGAAATCACCAAAAACTCCTAATTCAATTATAACAAACGGCTCTCTTTCATCCTTGTTATTAGAATTAGAATAAACGCGACAAAGTTCCAACTGCTGGTATCACATCTTATTGACTGCTTTCAGACTTCAACGATTCATCCGTCCGTCCGCCCAGCGCGTGCGTGCTGCGACAGCAGCGCTAGGTGGGTGTTGACAGCGCTGGCACGTGATCTAGTGTTGTCAATCCTGTCCAGCGCCGCCGTTGCAGCACGCACGCGACCATCGTCGCAGCAAGGACGCGATGGATGGACGTCGAAGTCTGAAAGCAGCCATTCACTGGCATTAAACGCTCTACACTTTAGATTTTATTCCCGCTACAACATGTCTGACTGTAGCCAAGATTAAACAGGACCCATAACCGTGGAAAGGATAATCGGTAAAGATTGCCCATTCCACTAAATATTGTATCATGAGCCGTGAATCGCGAGAGGTTCGGTTTCAACACTTATCCCTGCGCCATTTAACCCGATCGGTGAAGGCCGATGCGCTCTCAAAACATTCGAATGGTATCAATGACTGATGCAGAGGTTCCAGAGATTGTCGACTATTTTCGTAAAAACTCCCTTGCGGCTACAGCTAAGTAGATTTTTTCAGAAGAATCAAAAAAAAACAAATATAAGTAAACACAAAGTATCTGTAAACATACATTACGACCAGCATCGCAAACGGTGTCAACAGATCGTACGGTAATTGCAGTAGTCGTATCACTGATACCACTGTTACAGAAAGTGCACAGACGATAAGCATCAAAGACTAGAAGTATCCTCTGATCATACTGGCAATTTTTGAGTAAATTTTGAATAGTCTTACTTTTTTTATAGTTTTACCAGGGACGGCAGGGGAGGGACTACTGTGAATCTGGGTACATTCTCTTACTCAATACCGAAACTTTTCAATTTCTGCTTGGTGATGTCTTTAATTTATTACGCATTATTTCCAAAGCTATCTATGGCATTTGCAAAGGACTGAGACTTAGACGCCTCCGGTTCTGCCCTACATGCCTGATTTGCACGGCTAGACTTCCAGTTTTGCCCTTTTAGACCACCCTGAAAGGTCCTGTTGGGAGTGGGACATTTCACTGAATAGCTAGCCTTAGGCATAATTTGACTATGATACTTCTTCACTTCTGCCTGACTCACATACTTGAGGTTGAAGGCTTCTTCGCTGACCGGCCTACCCTTACGCTAATGAACTAGTCCACTCAACCGCTACGGAACGGTTCTATCAAAGGTGTAAAGGTTGTGTACAGAGTGCATAATAGTGGTAAAGAGATCCTTTCCGAGATTCTGCTTGAGTCCCATATCCAAGTTTTTCATTTCGTTCTTATGATTGATGATGGGAGTCACTGGTAGACTGTGATGCTCGGCTCACTGGCTTTGGCTTCCTTGTTACGAGAATAAGGCCTGTTGCCATACCTGCCAGGCCTAAGGCGAAATAAGCCAATACCACAAGAAAATAAGAAGAAGATAAAGTTTTGTATTTGCAGATAACGCATAACGGTTAGTAAAAATAAGAGCTCAAACTTGTAGTGCCCTTACCTGTACACAGCAGAGCTGTTTCATAGTCGTAAGTTCTCGTAAGTAGCCCTGTAAAAGATATTTTCAGGCGGATCAAACTTCAAAACTCACAAGTTGGAGGAATTGGGCTATTTACTCAGGTGGATAAAGCACGAGGTCAAAAACACTTATTTCTATAAATTTTGACTATCGACTAGATGTTGTTAGCCGTATTGGAATGAAAGTTTCCAGACACACGTTCAACTATGCTTTATTATTTGAACCTCCCTTGGAGCCAATAAAAAGGCTTCAATGACAGAAAACCTTATGGAACAGTGGTGCTCAAGATCCTCTGATATCCCCTGAGTTTTTGGAGATATTCAGCCAAAATCAACTACGATCCCATGGATTTCTATGAACCGGTGGGCCATTCTCAGTAGATTCGAGCACTAAAGCTAGAACAGGTACAAACCTTGACAAATTCTTCCCAGATATGTGTAGTAATACATACGTACAGCCATTGAATGCAAAACATAAAAACTGTCAAGAGAGAGACGATTACTGCATATGCCAATGCTGGATGAGGTACTGTATGCTGGAAAATATTTTTGTTAATTTTTTGTATAAGCTACCTACTCAAAGGAATGTTAAGAAAAAATACTGAACCAATTCGGATATCCTCCTTATATGAGTAAGTGTTAATATAACATTTCGTACATCCCATAACGGGTTTATGAATAACTGTGGATCCTTAGAAACTGCCGAAACACAGCAGATTACATGGTCCAACGCAGTGAAAAATTTTGGTTTCTAAC